CCATTTTCTCTCCCCATCAATATTTGTACAACATACAAGTTTGCTGACCTAGAACTTGAATATTGACGTTTCTCAGGTGGTATTCATCCACTGCACGTGCAACTGGATCTGCATCGCCAGACTTAGCGACCATTTTGAAACAGTGAAGCAGCTTTGAAAGCAGCCAAAACCAAATTATTTCACATTTCTTAATCCAACTTGTTAATGAAGTGTAAACATGTTTCCCATCATGCACCGGGCACAGAAAATCAGTTTTTCCTCATTTCTCAACTGCCTGTATCATTACCTGTGTCCTAACCTAGTATTTTTTTTATTTTCTCTTCCTGACAAGCAGGTAGGAAGAAAGAATGTTGGGAAAGCATGAGCAGGAAGAAGGAGAATCAGCATTTGTTGAGATTCCATTACTGCTAGCTATTTTGCTGTAGGCTTCCCCCTCTCCCCCACTTTCTTTCTTCCGTAATACTGAAAAGGACCTGGTGGCAATCAAAACTGCATCTTTTTTCCTCTAGGATTTAAACACAGTAATATTTAGTCAGACTTCCTGAAACCTGTCATTATGGATAGAATGAGTTAAAAGTTCACTGCTTACCACCTAGAGAACATAAAATGAGCATTCCAACTATTGTTATGAATGCATTCCTTCTGTGCAACAGAAAATCACTGGACTCCACATGAACCTCCTATAAGCTTACCTCTTCATAATCCTTCTTACTCTCTGCCTGTAATATTGAAGACCTGAAAGAGAAGAATGGAAAAGACAATTTTTGCCTATTCAAAATGCCTCACAAGTACATTCAGACAGGAAAATCCACTTTCGTGTTTGTAAAATGCACAACAAATTAAGAAAAGCGAAGATTCTGTGTATGTGCTGAGTGCAGTCAACATTTAATTTGTGGGGTGGGGGAAATAATCTGTGTTTTCCTTTCAATTGAACAAAATCCTAATTGTGCCCATGTAATACTTAAACACTCATAAAATGCAATAATACACAATTGTAAACTGATTATGGTAATTTTATTCTGAAATACCATTCAGGTACATTATAGAGCTGATAAACTAAAAAAAAAATAACTCAGACATTACAAAGTTAAAAGGACATCCCAGATTTTGCTTCTAAATACCCCCAAAATCTATCAAGCTACGACCGGGCTAAAGGTGGATCATCTTTCTCTTCTTAATCAGCGAGTCCAGTATGACTTAAAGGTAACAGTAATGTAAGAACACTTACTTTTTACCATCAAAAGAAGTTATCTGGAAACAGTACCGTCTGTCTTCGCAGTCCACAGCCATTACGGAACAATTGTCTATATCCATGACCAGTCCCCCAGCTACATCACCTCTTGCCTGGCTCATCAAATTTCCACCTTGAGTGAAGTAGAACTGTCTCTCCCAACTGGAAGATACCAGCCCTGTCTTACTAAAAGATAAAAACAGGTTCTCAGTTAGTGGATTAGGTATTCATCTGAGCTGAAAATCACTTGGAACAAACCATCTGGGCACGTAAGAAAACCTTTTTCTCTCTTTACTGTTTTAGGCTAGCTTTACAGCTAAATTAGTTTCTTTCCACCTGTTGGTTTTTTCATGCTAAACCTACTGCAGGGCAACCAATGCATAGATAATAATAATAATGGCTTTCTGAAATTATGTGAACCACTTTAGAATGAAGAGTCACAAGCACTTCAGTTTTGATGATCAGCTTTTATGGCATTCCTTTAGGCAATCTGCACATTTAAATTATATCCATTATCGATATAATTGCTGAGACCTCTGAACGCCGCACTCCCATTGCTAAGACTCAGTTTTGAAGAACTTGGTGTTAAGAGTTAGCTTAGTCACATAAGATTTCTCAATTTTTCAAGTATTTTGTGCCATTCAACAAGACTGCCAACATTTTGCTTAGAGCATGTTGGGTTTTTGTCTTTTTTTTCCCCAGAATAACAGAAGAGTAACAATCTGAAACCAAAAATCAGTAACACCTGCAGTGTAGCCTTCCTTTTTGTTCAGATGCTGTGTTCTGTATTAGGTGCTGCAATTGTGTTCTGCTACAGAAATTCATGGCTCACTCAGTGAGCATGTTACTCTAACCTGTTGTAAAAGTAGTCTACGTTTTTTAAAAAAAATTCCTTGGAACTTATTGTATAAATTACAGAAAAAAAAAATCTCAGTGTTACGATTTATTTTTGATGACCATAAAAACCAGCTGCTGGACTTTTAAGAAATAGAAGTAAGAGCTCTGTCCTGTGGAGAAGAGACTACCTCAGGAAATTGAGGCAGCCACTCCAAGTGTGTTTGTGTTGTAGTCAAGGACGTTTTGCCTTGTCTGTCTCAAGCTTGTCATGTTTTATTATCGACTCAAATCCCAAAATTTTAACAGATACTTACAGACAATCCTGATAGCTGCAATCTTATTGTTTTCCAGTTACGATCTGGTGAAATTACTCTCATAAACTTTTTCTTTTTGGTTTGAAAACTCTGGCAAAATTAGGCTAAAATCAGGATAACTATGCTTTGCACCTGAATGACACTACCTCATTGTAACAATGAAATTAACACTAATTGAGGCAGTCCAAAGAAACAGAATAGCTCCTAAGTCACTTACTCAACTAAGTATGTAAAATCAGCATAGCTAACAAAAAAAAAAATGGCATACTTCTTTAGCTTTCCTTTCTCAAAATTAAATGTTATGGAATTTGTAAGTAACAAGTTAGTCTTACTTTCTTGCATTGAGATAGCCAGCTTTCCGTGTTAGATTTCTATGAACAGGGAATTTCGTAGGATCAGGATCAGGCAAATACAGTGGATCACTGGCTACTTCCAAGTCCTCTATAGTTTGTTGCATGTTTTCTACTTCACACTCCATCTCCCTGCGAACACTAAGGTAAATAATGTGTTATTAACAAAGATAATTAATAAGTAGAAACTGAAAAAATAATTGTCTTGATAATAGTCCAAACTTACTTCTGTACACTTGTGCCAATATTGGTCAAAAATTCTTCCAATTGCTCAGTAAGATTTTCTGAACCCATTTTAAAAAAACTTATCTTTAAAAAAAAAAAAGAGGAAGAAAAGGGATAATTTAGTCATTAATAAAACTACATTAGCAATTAACAGATTAAACCACAGGCGGTTAAAGTTTCTCAGATAAATCTGTTTTCGTCCTTCATTCCCACCAAAGCCTCTCAATAATAAGGAGCACAATGCACGTTTTTGTCTGCAAGTGAAGGCTGATGCTGACATTGCAGTGGGATTTCATTGTGGCAAGAGGATGTGCACAGAAAATACAGAAATATGCAGAAACTGCCCTGGAAAAGAAACAAGGTTTGATCTTTTAGTGATCCCAAGGTCTCTCTATACTTCTTCGAGCCCACCGCTGTGTTATGGATGGGGTTATTTGAGAGGCACAGGAGAGGGGAACTTGTGAGGACTTGCCCTTCCTGTCCTTAGATTTGTCAAAACCTGCACCTGCACAGCAGGTTGCACGACCTACTCTGTTACCGAAAACATGCAGAGCTTCGTCCTTCAAAGAGCTCTTCTTGCACTCGGAAAGCTTTCAGACAGTACTCAGAAGTTCATTTCTACTCAGGACACTGTGGCAGTGTGAGATGCTGCAAAAAGTTTTACTTTTTTCTTTTTTTTTAAAAAACATACCAATGACATACTTCTGAAAGTACAAATTAAGTGCCTCCAAAGAACTTTTAATAGTTGTATTTTCTATTGCACCCATCCTCAAATAGACCCATCATGAACTCATTTATATGAGACAAAAACAAGCCGGAATGATTTTCAGCATTCCAGTTCTTCCGTGCCCTTGACTGAAAACAGGAGCGATATGACTGATGATTATCTTATCTCAGAACAGCTGCCACAGGAAAGGGTTTAGCTGTCTCCACGTTACTTTTCTAAGAAGGTACACTTCCATGTGGACTTGCATGCATGAAAGTTTTCATCAGCTATTCCCATTAGTGATGAAGTGCAAAAAAGCACCCAGCAATGAAAATTTAGGCAGTGCATTAAAATCAGCCATCTGGGTTTTGGGGTAGAATTAGACCTTTATATTTGTCACCCAGACTTTCCCAAAAGATTCTCTGCTGGAAGTGAGGGCACGCCATGATGAGATTCGTGTACTGAGTGGGAAATGACTAGCGCTAGCTAATGACACTGTTCACAGTAGCAGCTAGGACAGCGACAGAGATGAGGATGGTGTATGAGCGACCAGGAGGTGGTGGCTCCATTTGCTTCCTTGGATTGCAAAAGAGGTCTGGCAATGGATTTCAGTACATCAACCTCCATGGAGTACTTTCACGTCTTCTTTCAGACCTACAGCTTTCCGAATATGAAGTTACCTGAGCTTGCATGTATCCCAGCAAGGGTTCTAGCATAGCAATTTTCTTTTTGTACTGAAGAGTATTTAACGCACAGAAATAATGCATCATAGTCTGATGCTGTTTCTTCCTTGAAGTATATACATCTTCTGTAACTTCAGCCTTGACCTAAAGAGACACAGACAGGGGGAGGGGGAAAAAGGAATGTTTGAGACTTGGTATTCCGCTAAATTCTGGACAGCTTTATAGCCAGCATGGAAAAAACAATACAGTAACGTTCTACCCTCTATCATTCAGCGATTGCTGATGACATTTCACCCTACAATTCCGCTTCTCTAATTTATACATGGGAGACACATGAAAAAAAAATAAAGCATTCTTTTCTCCCAGGAAAGTGTGGTTATTTCTTTACAAAAATAAATTGAACAGAGTACCACAATCTTAATCATAGAGCATTCTCAGTGTTACAAGACAGGCATGTATTGGGGAAGCCTGCTTTTCTGTCCTGAAGCAAACTGTCTATGCTGCTGAAACGTAAACTATCAAACTTCAGGGGAAATCTGCCATACGTTGTCTTCCATCATAAATATATATTACATGAAAAATATTTCTTATCTCCTCTAAAAAGCTTTATATTAAGTGTTTTGTTTTACGAACCTTTTCATTTTCCCTTCTTTTTGACAACCGACTGTATCTGGTAATGGCAGCATCATGGTCTAAGCGATAAAGAGAGAATTTATTATCATTTTGATAAATTAATGACTTATGAAACAGAGCAGAAAACCTTTTATATCACACTGTGTTGCACAGCCAGCTGAATGCAAAGTTCTGTCATATTAAAACCTGTAAGAATTGAGAATTGTTCTTGCCTGTTTATAATTACTTCATTGCCACAAATACTTGGGCTGAAAAAAAATCTAACCAGATGTAAATATGACCAATTGTTAGAATTTTTCCTAAACATCTCATTAACTTCAAAGACAGAAACTTCCTGTAAGTAGAGACAACTTTCTATTATGAAAACCTGTATCTAATCTTTTTTGCTTCTGAAGCAATGAAGCCATTTACATTGAGAGAAGCAGAATCCCTAGTTGATCCTGCCTTAAAGAATAGGTTCTCTATGAGGATATAGGAAAGCGAGCTAAAAACAGTAACTTCTGACAATAGGGAAGGGAACTACCCAACTAATTTTAGGGAAGTAAAATTTGTTTATTAATCCAATCCTGACTTTAAGTGAGCTAGCACCTTATTATTTCTCATAATTTTGGTAGCATAATCCTAAATGATTTAATATTTCTATATATAAGTATTGTAAAAAAGACTAATACTGTCAGTTTGGTACACAAAGCAGGGGTTTACAAGTGAGCCAAGGAAACCTGGGTGCCTAAGTATCACTGAAAAAAATTACACGTTAATTAGTCACTTTAAGTCTTGCAAATATCACCACTAGTTTTCTAGGTAAATAATCTACAGTAATACTGTCGTCTTGTATTATCTGTAACATTAAGTATTTTACACTTACCATTGCTTGCAATTTGGAAAACTTCTTTTAGAGTTAATATCTCTAAAAAACAACATATTTAAATAAGTTGTTATTAACGTAACATTTATACACTAAGGTTTCTCATTCAGTGTTTCACTACTAAACAGTTGTAGTTCATTCACACCTTGTACCGTACTGAATTACCAGCACAGGCACTACTGTGGCCAGGAAAGTCTGCTCCTACTTCAGGCCTGAGTATCGTTTACGTGGCTGTCCGGCTTCCCAGAAAAGGTACTGTACTGTAGTAAGTTAAGAAGGAACTTCTTTTCAAAAGACTTTGAAAGACGTGGTCAATACAAGTGCGTCACCTATGATTCTGGTCAAAGTTCTGGTCTGAGTTGAGGAAGTGGAAGCACAGGAGATGGGGAAGTACCACTGGATCAAAGGAAAGCCCCAAACACATGTGATTCCTCCCACCTAAAATTAGTCATGGTCTAGATGGTTACTTTTTCTCACTGTGTCACGGAACAGAAAACAGCACAGCACTTAGCACTTGTTCTGATCTTGATCGTGGTTTTGTGTCATATTGCAACATAAACAAGCGGAGAGCTATGTTCAACTCTATGGTAAAGCAAAGACAAAAAAGTATGGAAAAGCTTTACAGAAAGTGCCTACGAAGTCCACAAACAAGTGTGGTGTCATTAAATACCACATCAGTTTGTGGTTAAAAACTTCCAGTGGGAAAATTTAATTTGTGATTATCACCTCAGGGATGCTTCTTCAGTAAATGTTAATAGGAGATTTTTCCAGGTTCTGAGGAATAATATTAGCCTCGAGATACTCATGCTCCTTTGCTCAAATAGCATAGTCTATTTAATCCACAATTTTGCAACAAGCTATTGCCAAAGAAGTTTTTTCCAAGATTCATAAAAATCTAGAAGACTTATGGAAGAATTGCAATTTTTATTTCAATTTATAGACTTAAAATGTTCATATGTCAGGTAGACCCACTGTAGGGTGTTCACATTCAGGATTTAAGTTATTTTGGTTTTAACTCTTATCATTTATATTTGAAGCTCGTTTGCCACACTAGTCTATTCACTCCAGCATCTCAAGTGAAATCTATCATATCAGACACATTAGGTATTATTTTAGACAAAGCAGAATAAGATACAACTGCTACAAGAATAACAAGTTGGAAGATCTTACACCTGCATGTAAGAAGCCACCTATATTACCAGCAGGGTTGAAGAACTACCTTACTAAATCTTAATAATATAATAAGTAATACAGCTTTGGAACTTTGCCTTTTGAGTTTGATCCAGCCATTATACTGGATGTCATGGTATTATAATATATATGAAATATTTCCAGAACATGTAAATTACCTGAAAATCATTCTTTCCTAATGTTTACAGTAACCACAAAATTTTCATCTTGAATGGAAGGTAAGTGCTTCCATAATATATGTAATATTTTTTTAAACAGTAATAGTGTTAAGTTCTTCAACTGTAATACTCTCATGAATAGAAATAACTTACATTTTTTTAAAAGTGGGAGATGCATACCTTTGAGAGCTGAAAAATAAGTGGCGTATTCTATTTAGCGAAAAAAGAGCTATGGAGATTAAATGCCACGTTTTTGTTATTGCTGCTGTTGACAAAACCAGTATTTGTTCAAGCACTCTACCTTTTAGATCCCTTTCTTTAAACTGGGTGATAGGAAACATCATTGCATCAGCAAGTTGAGTTGAAAGGACTGCATGGCAAGAGCTGAGCTGTAAGAGACAAGAGAAAGAAGGAAGTTTTAGGAAAACAGTGCTGAGACTAAATCAAATCAAATCAAGGTAAGTAGACATTAATTTCACTCAATCAATTCCTGATCCAGATCTCAATGGTGCTGGGTTGTATTTCCTAAGAGTCAGTTTCTGTCTCTACTACAGACAGCAGGAGGTTCCTTTGTCAGTCAGGTAAGTAAAATCAGGCAATACAAACACCCTCCTGAACAACAGTTTCTAACTGCCACTCTGTAATGGTTTGGGGCTGCATTTACAGTAAGTTAAACTACGTTCTTTTTCAACAACATACCCTCATTTTGCTGAACTGACTCTTTATCTTCAAGATACTTTATCTTTTTATCTCACAGAACTTTAAATATATGCTGCAATGTACAATTAAGTGTTACCTTATTGACAAACGAATGCCATTTCTGCACCTGCTGTCTGAAAAAAGGCTGGAATAATTAAGCAAGTTAAAGTCTACACTTGACAACTTTAGCAAAGTAAGTGAAAGGAATACAAGTACTTGCCTCATCTATCACTTTTGCAAATTGCTGTAGAGTGGAAGTCATAACTTCATCATCTCCTCCTAGTGGAAAACGCTAAAAGATAAAAGGAGGCACGTTGTTTGCAGTGTTTTCTGCCATTCACAAAACTGTATTCAGCATGTCTAAGAAAGTTTCAGGTATTCCATTATTTTAAAATATTATACAGTTAAGATACACTGAAGCACTTCTTTATTGTCCTGTGAGGAAGGAATATTTGAGGAGGACATAATAATTCTCATTTTAAAAATGCATTTTAAATAGATTATGTAATTAATCTATTTTATAAATTAATTAATAGATTTTAATTTTTAAAAATCAAGAAATATGCAGACTTGACATCTATGAAGATTTTTATCCAGCTTTGCAAATTATTTTAAAATTATCAAAAATTAAGCAATATTTCATGTTCATCTTAAATTTCTACGTCTCAAATTATGTGATTACATGAAATTTTTTAACCACCCAAAGGAGTTTACTTCTATAATGCCTTGATGGAGGCAAAAGTATGAGCAAAATAGTCACAACTGAAAAAAAATAATCCAGTTAAACCATAGTTGTGTATTTTTAAGCTAATCTCTTGACTGAGAAAAAAAGCAGTCCAAAGGGGACAAATCAGAAAAATACATTACAAGGTCCAGTGCTTATTTAATTTGTCTTTTAATTCACAGCAGCTATACATAAAACACTTGGAAATATAAAAAAAATAAATAAATTTCTTTATTAAAAATGTTGACCACCTCCTTCCAGCTTGTTAGTTCCCCCCTTCTTCTTCTAAATGAATGTACCAAACTGTAATTGAAATAAGGATATTTGGTGTCTATTTTGATATCCGTAACTGCTAACAAACACGAATATCATGCCCTAATTGTGACTAGTAACGTTAAAGCACTTAACAGTAAACAGGTTTATAAAACAAAAACAAAACACCACCACCCCCCTAAGCAACTCCCAAAACCCTGATCCAAAAGTAAAATATTTCAGAACTTATTAATATTCATCGTGGTCAGAGGAACTTCATTCTGGTTTAGTTGGAAGAACTAATATGAAGACAGTAGATTCTTTTGGCAAAGATTCGAGCCACCAACTACAGCAGTTCATTTTATCTGGACCAAACCTAAATACATTCTACACCGTGCTCTGGGAGATAAAGGACTACAAAAATACACAGTCTTGACCACACAAAATCAACAATTATTTACACAGTACCTGTTTCTCATATTCCTTCAGAAGCTTTGAAGTCAGGTGCGTTGCTGCACTTAATTCATTCTGATTTAAAAAGAAAACAAACCCAAAACAACAAAAAACAAGCTTGTTACTTTTTGATTTAAATTAATATTAAATAAATCATATATTTGAAGAGGAAACTATTACAGACATGGAGCTTACAATCTGACTACAGATTTCCAAAAAAACCTGAGCATCCTGCCCTTCCACTTCTCTAACGTTATCGAGAGTTACAGGTAGTCAGTGTTTACAAATACCAAACTCAGAGCCTGTACTATAGGCATCGATTTCATGTTATGCGGTGCATATTTACATTTAATAATTTCAAATTAGCTGCCCGAGTTACCAAGTATTAGGAATTTGTTGTCTGTAAAGGAAAGAAAAGATTACAATGAACCTCACTACTACCTGGTCACCAACTGCTCTGTGGTCATACACAGACAGGACCTAATTAGCAGACTCATGGTATGGAACAACTTCATTTTTCATGGTGCAGTTGAAGGAGAAAGTACAGAAATTAAAAGCTAAATAGACAAGCAGTAAAATAAAACTACATAGCAGCAAACCTACAACACACTAGTCATTAAAGTAAAAACAACAGTAAAATAAAAATATGGAAAGCAAAAGTAACAAATCAGAAAAAAAGTGAAACAGTTCAAGTATACACAAATTAAAAACAAAGCCATAAACTCAATTGTTCAGAAAAAACACACAAAACAGATTTTGCCTTTGGCTTAAAAGTGCAGTTACTTATAGAGGACGAGTGAAACATCTCACTTGATCCATACTATTATACATGCTCAGATCATGATGGAAAACATTTTAAAAACACTTGAGAAATACAATAGAACTACTAGAAGACTAGAAAATCTTTTTACTTGTCATAAGAAATTCTATTGCAAGAGAAATCATGAGAATTTAGTCTTTACCACTCTCCTATAGAAAAACAGTAATTTAATTCTTATTTTACTTCACTTCCACATTTAAAGAATATAAAAGTTTTTTTAAAAAAATTGCTTGTAATAATTTCAAAAAAAGCAAAAGACATGAATAGTGGTTCAAAAGCTTTACAATATATTCAAGAATTTCATTAACACTACCTGTGCATCATAGATTCTGTGCATGGCTTGAAATAACTGATTGATGTAATTGGAAATCGCAGCAGCATCTTCTTCAAATACGCCCAGCAGAGACCGGGTCTGTAAAAATGAAACAGCCAAAAAAACATGTCAAGGTAGAAAAGCAGCATTTAAATGTACCAGAATTTCAAAGTTAAATAGCATTGTTTCAGGTTTCATTACTGGAAAGTTTATAAACCCTCCAACACTGTTTACAGGAACGATACCTGTTGCATGGCAGAGAATCTTACAGGTATCCAAGCTCAGCACCAGTCCTACTGTCAGCCTCTCTCCAGGTTAATACAAGTCCGTTTTCAGACAGGACCAAGGGAGACAGACTAACATATAAAAAAGTTGGAACTGTGGGCAACTACTGGACCCACTATGGTACACCCCTAAGGAAAAGGTTAAAGGTGACTGGTATTTAATTGCGTGTCAAGTAGACACATTTCTTCTGCAGTCAGATCACGACAAAGGCTGTGACTTTCTGGTACCATTCATCCTGCACGAAGAGAGCTGCTGGCTGTGCTTGGTCCTGTAACTCACCTGTGCAACAACAGTCAATTCTGTGATCAAAAGGCCGAGAAACTAAAAGCCAAACCAAACCAGTACAACCTACATCTTGTTCTTAAAATACATGTTTCTCCCCCTCACCACTCCACGGTGAAAGGGAGTGAGAAGGTATGTCCTTCTGTCCTGACCCTTGCTTGTCAGCCAGTCTGTTCCACAGCTGGTGTCACCCACAAGCTTGATGACTACGCATCCTATTGCACTGCCTGCAACACTGATGAAGGTGCTTACCAGTATCCACCTCAAAGTCAACCTTTATCACTGTCCACCTATTAGACTTGAAAACACTGATCACTACTCTTTAACTACCCAGCCAGTTTCTCCACCCAGGTCGCAGTCTGTACCTCGCCGTTTTGGCCAGAAGAACGTTACTAGAGATCGCGTGAGAATCCTTGCTTCAGTCAAGGTAAATGACATCCACTACTCTTCCCCATGATGGAACGAATGACTCTGGATGAGAAGGCAATCAGGTTGCTCAGGTATAATTTGCCCTTAAACTTAAACAAGACACTGACTCAGTGTCCTTGCATCCTTTTTGCACTTGGAAGCAATATTACTCCTCACCACCAGGATATTAAATAGCTTCCTTCCACCAAGACAAAAACCCAAAAGGAGGATGAGCAGAGCATGTACCTATAACTCTGCACAGGCTACATTTGCTTTTCCTCATCAAAAATACTGGTTGAGGTGCTTGGATGTAGAAACAAGAGTATCGCTTGCAAGACCCAAAAAATAAATCCTTTAACTCTAGTAACATCTTAGCAAGAGGACTGTGCTTTGGTTTTAGGTTTACATGAAAATTAATGTCCAGGCAGCAAATGGAAAGAATTGTTAGGTACATAACTGGGTTTTTTTTCAAAAAAAAATATGATTGTTAAACACTTGAAATCGGAAATTCTGTGTCTTAATCTTCCCTAGGCTAAATAACTGTAGTTTCCTCAAGGAGGAAGGGAAGGAACTTAGGGAACCTGGGAAAAGAATGAAAGATTGACGCAAGGAGTCCGGACGTCAGGAAAACCTCTCTGATGAGAACAGCAAAAAGCATTGGACTGTACTACATATGGATTGTGGGGGTTTTATTATCAGGAGTTCTTGCTATGTTGAAGACTTGCCTTGAAATGACTTAGACTTTAGTCCATTTCCCCTTGAAGCATGGAGGTCTTTTTCAGTTACTTTTCTGATTTTCTGCTTTTAATGATAACCAAGGAGTACATATTAAACTTGTACAAAGTATGTTATTTGACCATGCTTTATTTAACTTGAATTAGATGCCTGGCTGTCTCACAAATATCATATAATGCCTACAAGATACTTAAATACAAAAAAAAAAAAAATCAAACAGCATCATCAACACAACAAATCATTTTAATGGTGGTTCTACTTTATAAAACAAGTGGAAAAGAGTGGGTAGAGGAGGAAGGAGGTGGAGGAGAACTCAAATGTTTGCCAGGCCTGGCAACATGTTGTGTTCATCCCACTAGTTGTGACTCTCTCATTAAAGGAGACATACATGAAAGAAAAGACAAAATTACACAGTACCATAACCACTGAATTATATACTCATGACCTTTAAACTTGAACATAAATAAACCTGTACTTGTAATTTTCAAGGAATATCATGTCAGGTTTCTAGATTATGCTCACTCTTTAAAACTGAACACTGTAGAATAAAAGCATTTCTATATTTTATTGTAAAAATATCAGTTATTGATAGCTGGACTTCAAACTGACATTGTGTGGTATTGATGGAAAGAAAATAACTTGAAACTGTAAACAAGTTATGGCAGACTACTGCTTTGCAAAAAATTAGAAGAATTGTTTACTCATGTTTCTAGTAAAACTTTGTATCATTTTTGATGTTCTTTAAGATGCTTTCAACCCACGTATATGAGGAGGTACACTGGAAACTACCCGTGACAAGCTGCACAAAGAAACCACCTAGTTAGAAGTCAGTGAACTGTTGAGCCTTCTATCATCCCATCATATGTGTAGTAATGTCAGTGGCATGAGATAGAGCCTGTACTATCAAGTCTCTTGGCTTTCTTGTTGTGCAATGCTTCGGGAATGCAAAGAAGTCTGAGCAGAAACTCTCTCTAAATACATACACAAACACTGAGTAGGTCTGTAATGCGTGTCCTAACTTCATATTTAAATTGCACTGCTTTGCATAGCAAAAGACAACGTAAACTTGGCATTTGGTTTACATCTGAAAACACAGTGGTTAAGATTTTTATCCTGCCACAAGAGGAAATGATTGGGTTTCGCCATTTTAGAAAAGCCTTTCCTTCCCTCAGATGCAGAATAAGTTTGATACAATGTTCATATACCTGAAAGTTAGCGTCTGGAACATGTCTGCAGGTGCAAAACTCCTGTCCATAGATCAGCACTAAACCAAGACCTAGACTGATGAACATATCAATCAGAAAGTCACGGCAACTCCTCAAGAAAGGAAGGTTTCTTTTTTCTTCAAGCAACGTTTGTTGCCAATTGATTTCAAAATAACAGAAACGAACCAATGTAATAGAAGACTATAGAGTCCTTGTTACGCTCTTCTGAAGTGTTAGCCGGAATTCACCAGAAATATTAGGTTGACTGAAAGATGTAAAATTTTGTACCAAAAATAGAAGATGGTATTGGCAAACCTAATAATTTAAGCACATCAAACTCATTGGGCTGAGTTAGGCTTTGCTCGTCTGTATCACAAACAACCTCAAACAGAAGTTTCTAGAATTTATGATTATGTTCCAATAATTAATAGTAATTTTTTTGCATGTGGTTCCCAAATGATGTTCCAGTCTTAAGTGCTCGGAAAAAAGAACCTTACACTGTACTTTTTAGGGATCCTAAGTTTATCTTATATTTGACATTTCCTATTAAAATGAACTGTTCTGACTTCCATAGATTGAGAACAGACCTTCAAGAGATAATTTTGTTTAATTACCATTATTATAACACTTTCAAAAACTTTTTCTCTTCATGAGAATACATCAGGTTTATCACTGGGCCAGAGACCATACTACAGGCTAGAGCTCATTTAATATTTAGTATTTGAGCTAGATGGGGCACCGTCCTTTGGAAAGCAATGATACACTTTCTGCATGGCTTCCTTCTGTTGCCTTTCTTAAGTCATCCCTCCACTTGATGTAGATTTATTAAAATGCCACTTTAAGTGTTAAAATTCCCTATTAAGAAAGGGAAAGTTTCTTTACCTATGGCTGAAGAATCAAAACTACCAATGCAATGCTATTACAATGCAGGAAGTCTTGCTCATCTACATAAACAATGCAGCAAAACAAGGATCTTAATTCGAAAGGATGCAATAAAAGAAAATATATTGCAAACTTTTCTTTTGGCGTCCAGGAACAGCAGTACAAAGTACCTGCTGTTGTTGCTGCCAGCAAGAGAAACCAGTGCAACTGAATAAAGCTCTTCCTGCTTAATAGTAGTATGAAAGAAACGCCAAAGCGCTACATGGCATCGCCGACAAAGGTCAGGCCGCACAGACGGAAGTGAAGACACCCGGGCAATTACAGGCCTCTCAGTGCCATGCGGCTCCCACCTCTCAATCAATCAAACTCCC